ATTTACTTCATGCACCTGTATGTATCGTGCGTGTGATGCATGTGCTGCGTTGCTGAGCTGCTTTTCACATTGTCCTGATGAGATATAACAATGACCTTGAGCTTAACCTTGCTTTTGAAATCTCTGGCGTAATATCTCACCAGCAGATATTGTGTAAAATGACTTAATATTTCATACAAATCCCCTTTTACCGGATATAACAACCCCTCTGTATGTAGGTGTTAACCGATGGAACCACTGTTGTCCCTGTGGTAGGTCACAGCTCTCACTAGTGTTTGCACTGACTTTAACGGGAGGGAAACTGATTTTCTGGGCTTAAGCAGGGTAATGTTTGTATCATAAGAGAAATGATGACACCTCATCACAACTGGATTACACGGCGCTTTGACGAGGCTCTTACCTGACAGCAGAGGTGTCAAACTAAATATTCAATATTCTTTTGAAACCATTTTCTTAACTTGGTTTCTGAATTCATCACAAATCCCAAGAACGCAGAAAGCTGTTGAACTCATCTTCTTAAACAACACTGCAAATAATACTGTATTTATTTGGGGGGGGCTTATTAATGAACTGCAGGCTTTTGTTTCTAGTGGAGATCTGTGCCATTCAGACAAGGAAGTAAGCGTGTTGTGGATGTTTTATAATGGGAACTATTTTGACGTGTTACGCCAGAATGTGTTAGTGACACATACTCTTATCTTCTCAACTAAAACAACATTAGACTCAGCACACCTCTTGACCTGTTGGCAATAAACAGTGTTTCCACCTACACACTCATCTCTCATTAATGTAATTGCTGTCATGCTAGTTTACAGGGAGGACTAGAAAAGTCACTGTGCTTTAAGGTTCATCTGTGTTTTTTCAAAGTGAGCTTTATAAGGAATTTGCAGCACCCAGCCAAGTAGTCATTAATCCATCGGTAATGATCCCATCAACACCATCACAGCAGCCCCCCCCCCCCCCCTTGGCAATCACTTTGTATTTTTTCTCTGTCCTCCAGTAATAATTGACACTCTTACCTGCTCCTACAGTCTGCTGCTCACTAGTTTGCTCTGAGGCAGCTATTGATTCCGGAGCATCGGATCCATGAAGACAATGATGATGAACAATGAACAGACAGCTGCATCCTCTGTGGTGTGGGCCAAAAAGCGATGGCCTTTGTAAGCAGCATGTAAAGCCTCATCTGGTGGATAATATGAGAGAAAAGAGGGACACAATTTGTGAATTTTCTGAGTCAGTTAGCTCGAGTTCTCCTCTGCTGGCTACAAGTCTCAACGTTGAGGCCGCTATGACTTTGATTCTACAACAGACTGCAAGTGTGTCTCTCTTAAGGAAGCGAGTCGCCGGCGTGCATCCGACTCTGCGCTGGATTTGAAATCCCATTACCATGATAAGCATTATAATAAACGTGTGAGTGACAACATATAGAATAAACAATGTCTACATGTTTCTGATCAATACTTGTCTTCGTCAAACATTCACCACGTGGAATCTTAAAACCTCACATTAAATCATATTCAGCATCATTTATATTGAGAGAATAATGAGACACGTCAAAGTCATGGGATTACATGTTATCTCATCCCTTGGAGTTTTTATTAAGCAATTCTAAAATATGTAGATACTGGTCATTTAAATCTCATTTTAATTGAGTGACGTCATCAACAGCTAATTCATTTGAACTACAAGATATCAACAGGCTACAATATGATATAAATGTCATGTTTTTGAGCTTTTCATGATATAATACGCAATTGTAGTTATATCTGTTGGATTGTGTTAGCATGTTAAGGATTATCTTAATGTGTTAGTCAGATTGATAGACTACTCTTAGATAAGGAAAAGGTTATATGAGCTCAAGGACAATTTCTGTGAGGATTAGGACACAATAAAACTCGTTCCTCTGAGAAACTCAATAGTCTCGCACAGCACGCTGCCGGTCGTCTCTTATCTCCACACTCTCAAAAACAAATCCAGCGACCAGTTCCACATACGGAGCCGTCCGCGTTCTTCTGCCGCAGACTATTTGCCATTCCCCGGAAGGTCATTTGGTTAATGCACATTTGGGTTTTCATGGACTCTTAACTAGTTTTTAATCAGCAATTATTAGTGAATTGGAAGGCTGTGCAGGCGCATGACTCTCTGCTGGCGGGAGAGTGCCCATCAATGTCACGTCAATTTCCATGCCAAAGGCTACATTAGGCCTGGAGTCTGCGAGGAAACAGCCACCTGAGTGCCTCATCTCCCCATCCACAGCAGTCTTCCCATCAACTATTGACTCTATTACACAGCTCTGTCAAAAAAATGTTCCGCTTCAAAAGAGGAGCAAACCATTACATGGCTGTGCTGGGAGATAATTTAGCGATGCACATAAAATTAAGTGCATAACCATTGAACATTGCTCATTATTGCACTTGGGTTCCTACAATACCAGGCCAATACCAGGCTTCCCAACCCTTTCCTTCATTTCCAAGGTACGAACACAGCTTGATTATTTAGGCTGATGTATTATATAAATACCTGTCATTTCCATCTATAGCTAACCTAACCATAATTGGCAATTAAACATGCCGGCATCTCAGACTAGCTCTTAATTACTGTTAATAAATGCTGAGGGGCCCTGGGGTGTCCTCTCAGGCTGGAGCATTGGGGTTGTGAGTCTCCTGCAGCACCACATCACGACATGAATATGCATGGCAGACGGGTCTTCTTCAGCTCTCTCCTTCGGCTTTCGGCAGGCTGACGCACACGGAGGTTGGCAGCAGACCGCCTCTTGAACTATACCTCTTCTCCATTACTCCTCCACGGCGGCCCGAGCGTTGTTACAGCAACCTCCTCGCGGTGGCATTCCTGCACCCTGCGCCTTGTTTGTGTTTGCCGTGGAGCTGTCACATTCAGCCTGTTAGCACCCCGGCCCGTGGGAAATTTACACACAGCCTCTGGTATGAGGTGAGGCCATCAAATGAGCTGGTGACATGCTGCAAAACATATCTGGCAAAGTTTGCGCGTATGTGTGTCACTGTGTGACGGGTGAAAAGTTGGGGAACACCCTGAATTGTTTATTGTGGGGCTTGAAAATGAATGCCACGTGAATGTAACATATTTGGAAGTAAAATATTGTAAGTGAATAGGTCACTTTATTTAGGCAACTGTGCATTTGTGATCATTATAGTTTCTGATTGAGATCATATGTAGGTGATTATATTGTTTTCATAGTGTCGGTCCTGCTGCTCAAATATTACTTATGACATTTTAACTTTAAAGCCAACCTTGATTCCACAGATTATGAACAGCTTCCTTTTCTCTGCTGCGAGCTGACATTTAGCTCCCGTAATGACTGCTGCTTGTCTCGCAGTGTTCCACCTAAGACACGAATCCGTCTTTTTTTTAAGGGCTGGCGAGTGTCGAGCTCTCTGATCGTAATGGCACTTTTAATTAGCACTTAATTAAAGGCAGGTGGACTGCAAAGGTCAACCGGTTAGGCTTGCAAGTTAAAAACACAGACGAGCGCGAGCATCAACTGTTTGATGAATTTCTCTGCTAATTACAGTGACCAGGAATCTGGACCAACTCCTTCCAGATCTGCTGCAGGTCAAAGACAAAATACAGCATAAAGCCACAGACATCTTTCAAGTGGGCTAACTCTTATTTTACATCTATTTTGCTTGGGATTTAACAAAATAAACACATACAAAACAAAACAATATTTCTTCTAATTTTAGTTTTTTTGTTCAAAGCAATTTCTAAATTTTGATTTAATCCAACAATCTGGAAATACGGGACATGTAGCTATAACATGTCTGACTGTTGATATGTTTTTACACGTGCTGTAGTTCATCTGTTTACATGGTTTGTGTGTTTGAATGTCATGTCTACACATACCTTATGACCGGGCTCCACACATGGTCTGTCAGAGACAGCATAAAAATCAAAAGCAGCTTCTGTAAAAGTGAAACAATAGTCCAGGTTGTCAGTGGGATTATCATTCTACTCATTACACAAACACAATGACTGCAGCGTGATCTAAACTTCTCCTTTCTCGGCTCTGAAAAACAAGAGCCGGGAACAGTATTGATCTCAAGTCAGAGTTATCGATCACCTTGTCTGAATGAGTGATGAAGCTGTCGGGACTGTTGGTCTCACCTGACAAGCACCCATATTAAAAATCCTGATCCGAGAATTTCAATGCAGCAGTAACAGTATGTTTAACAATCATAGTCTATATCAAAATAAACATGGCACACAAATATCTACAGAACCTGCTGGAGAATACTCATTACATCATTATCTGTATACCTATGTCTATGGTTGCCAGTATAAGAGATACAGTATATATTAGTTACGTAAAAGCAGGACTACTCGCACGGTGATGAACGCATCAAAGACAACACTCATCACACAAACACTTAATACTTCATGTGTGCGTCGCCACTACTGTGAGGCTCTAAAAGGGGCCCGCCACGCAGCAGCCTCGTTTGCACATCTACTCATCACAGCCGTGGAATACGCGGAGCCTTTAGCTAACATTGATGCTCTCCGTGTGATACTGCTGATGTCAAATAAAGCACCGGAGGATGCTGTGCTTATTTCTCCTAAAAAGCGCTGCTGCATCCTCCAAAGTGCTGGAAGAGACCACTGAGGGGCAGCAGAATTACACGCCTGCACTTATTTGTTCACCGCTCCCCCCCCCAAAATGCACCACAGTGCTCAGACTCTATTAATCCTGCTGACTTGATGAGTGACCTGGAAGGATCCCGGAGCCGAGGTAGAATGAAACAAAAAATAGTCCCGTTTGTATTAAATACTCACAACAGTCTGGTCCATAAGTATCCAGTTATGGGATGTCAGCAGATACTATATACAGTAAAGTAAACGTCTGTTTGAATTGATGGATCACCACCTAATTCTATGTGACATTGAAATGTTGAGATCAGGTCATATATCATATTATGCAAATATATCACAACAAATAAAAATGCAATGAAACAGTGAAAACAAGTCATATAACAATTCAGTTTATTTTATTTATTTTCCAGACAGACACATCAATTTCTGGACCACAGTAGAGGATGGAAACCTTTCACAGACATTTTTTGTCAATATTATTATTTGAAAATACAAATATAAAATTAGACTTTCCACATTTGATATGTGAGAGACCCCCATCCATTATTATTATTGTCATTATTATCATTTTTTTGTTTTTTAGTATATTTTTACAACAGGGCTTAAGCAAGCCATATGATAACCTGAAAGATGCTTTCAGATGTCAGTCAAGTCTGTCTTGTCTCTCGCCATAAAAAGTCGGTTAACATAAAAAAAAAAAAAAGGGGGCAAGTGTTAGGAATGGGCAGACAGCAGGGAAGAGAGCTCTGTGCTCAGCCTGCAGAAACATGGGAGCACAGCAGAGCCTCACACTGCCGTCCATGCAGTCTGAAGAGCTTCCAGGCTCCCCTCTAGGCCATGCGGTCTGCTCCAAACTCGACAACACGCCGGGAGGGGGGGGGGGGGGGGGGGGTGAACTCTCGTGTTGGTGAACATAAGCTAATAATGAACCTGGGTGGAGCTGTGTGAAGAGTATTCTGTATACAGCTGAGGTCTCCAGTCTAACATTGTTCAAATGTGTGAAAATTGCAAATATATATTCATCTATACACATATACATTGCAATTGTATATATATTCAGTATATAATGAGCATGGGGTGAGATGGCAATGGTTTTGGACTGAAGGGGGAACGCACCCTGAAACACCACATTACAGTTGGGACTTGCGTTATTTCTGTCACCTTGAAGGGTTCAGTCGAAATTTTGTGAACACGAACAGATCGTTATGTCCTGAAACAAGAGAGCCGGCACTAGAAACGAGTGACTTGGTGGACTGGGAGACTAACGTTGTGGCCACTGTGACAGTATATTATCCAGTATCTCTCAGAGATAAGGGCACATTGTCTGGTTTTAACACCATTAGCACCACTACCAATAAGCCGGCTTTTGGGTATAAATGGTCAAGAACGTTCAATGAGCCTTCAAAGTCTGTTCAATTAACTGGAAACAGAGCAGAGCCTGAAACAGTCCTCGTCTGATGTCCCCCGCTTTAGGGAGACAGCAGTTCTTATCCATGAAACACATTCAAGAGGACAGAAATCTCACAAGTGCGCCTGTGCTTTCAGGGTGGGCTTCTCCCACAGCGGATGGGATAAATCGTTTGGCCATTGCCTAGCACTTGCCTCAAGATTCAAGTTTAAATGGATACGGTAGTACAACTACAAATGCCAACACCTTCCAGGTTGACTTTTTTTCTTTTTTGATTATATATATTTTTTTATCTTAAATCAAGACCCCTCCCCTTTTCCCCAAATGGATAAGCTAGCCTACTAAGATGTGTAACATTCATCAGCTGTAAACTGCTGTCAGTTTGAGATAAAATAAAAATTACAGCAACAGAGCCATGCTACCTTAAAGTCCAAGCTACAGGATCACAAAACAATGGAAGAGTCCATTTTCTATATTGTGAGAGGGAGAACGAGCCGCTTCGCTCAGAAAGGGTTCATTGTCGTCTGAGCCACCGGGCGCTGCAACAGTGAGGAAAGCTAAATATTGTGTTTCATACTGGTTGAACATTTGTTTTTCAGATGAATCGACTACATGTGGCTCCTAACGAGCTTCTAATAGTTTGTAGGTGCTTTGAGTTATAGTTTGCTCTTTGATGAAATAGGAACAATGCTGCAAATAAAACGGAGGAACACTTTCTCTTACCCTGTCTTTCACTTTGCTATTACACACAAGATCCTATTCAACATATTGTTGATTTGTTTGACACCACAATGTGCAAATGAGGTGAACATAAGCAATAATACTTGAAACATGTTATTTCTTTGAATATGTGATCAACTGCTTTTGTCATTTTACAATAAAGTTGAATATTATTTGAGATTGTGGACGTCGTCTCTTGGGATCATTTCTCTTTGCCTATTTCTAGACGACACACTGTCCCCGTATACTTGCTGGTTCATTGGAATAATTTGTCCTTTAGCATCGCCATCAAAGCTGCCATTACTGTGCTTATTGTATGTAATTTGACAGTCTAACGAATAGACACTAATGTTATTTATTAATGTAACAGGATTCAATTGTAAGACCCCATGAGGTGAAATAATGAAATAACTGATAAACCTGAATTATGTTTCATTGAAATTATACTCAAAAGAATAGCTGGCAGTGCGCACACAGCTTGAGGCTTTATAATAGCTTTGTTTTTGCTTGAAACACAGCTGTTTGTGGGAATCTAGCAGGTTTGAATTATGGACATCCTCCGACATGGTATTTTTTTAAAGAAGCTTAAACTGAGCATTTAAACTCGAGTCTAAATATAATCTTCTCTGCTTGTCAGCAATGAATCACAGCTTTAAGGTGCTGGTCCAATGTCAGGACATGAGTTCCCTGATTCACAGCCCGTCCTTTAACAGCTGCTAGTATTGCTTTGGAGACAGAAGTCTTCTGTTTAATGGAGTCTTTAGCAGTGATGCCTCTATAACGCCAACACGTGTGAAGAACATTGATTGCCGATTAAAACGAAAGCTAGTTCCCAGAATCTAAGCTTTAAATGGTTAAGACTTATTAATGGAAGTTGTGACAGAAATAAGAGTTTAAAAACAGTATCGTCTTAAAACAACTATACGGGATATTTCCAAATTGTACAAATATTGAAAGATATAACAATATTTAAACAGAAATATGACTGGGTGTTAGGACTAGTGTGATAATCATTTGGTATGTTTCTTTAAAAAATATGAAATACTTTTTACATAAAATCTTTGTCCGTGATTATAACTTGTGTCCCTCTTAGAAAGTAACCAAAAAAGAACTGTTTTGCATATCTAGCGTTAGCATTTAAGGTAGTATGGCGCACCCCTTTTAAAACATTCAAGGGTGGGGATCCAAATAATGCCTTGTGAACAATTCCATCTTACGGCAACCGTTTTTCTCTATTGTTCATCCGTGAGAGCTTTGGTTAGCTGAAACCATGTGAGAGTGGCAAAACCGAAACCAAAACTAGAAACGTACACAGGGAATAAATTACAATGAACCTCTATCAAAAGAATGAACTGCAAATCTCAGAATAACATGATCATTGAGAGAAAGGTCTATCTTGACTGGTCCTAAATCCACTATTCACTACAAGTATTATATTAATGAGTCCTATAGAACATCTACTTTGTAATTACAGGAGATAGAAAAAGAGCGCGAGAGGGGAGAGAGGGATAAATATGAGAGAAAAGGAGAGGTAGAGCAAGGGAGAACAACAAAGACCACTACACTGGTATCAAAGACAGCACTCCGTTTACAGGTTAACTGTGAGTTCTTTACGCACGAATGAAACACATGAATGACCAACAAAAGAAGTAGGATCTCCGAGGATGGGGAATGGAAAGAGAGAAAGCAATGGATGCACAGTACATTTTAATAGTATATTACAATTATTAATATATAAACCACAAAGTATCAATAAAACTCTGATTAAACTTGAAATCAGCAAAGAAGCATCTTTCTTTTTTTTTTTTTTTATAGTTTTGTATTTCTTATTTTCTTTTACATTTGAACATTACAAGGGTTTTTTCTTTTCTTTACTCTGTAGATTATTACTTGATCACACACCTCCGTATCGTTTACTTTAGAAGTATCCAGCATTATGTCTTTACCTGGTTGTTTTGAAATAAAAGAAATGAGACAAGAAGTGTGGTCAAATGAAAACAACGCGTGTACACCTGCCGCAGGTAAAGTAGCGCAGAAAACACACCGTTCATCCCATGAATGATGGTTAAAAACCGGACTGGAGCATGTTGTTATTAAATGTTTGTCATGAGTGAAAGCATTAACCACACACACACACACACACACACACACACACACACACACACACACACACACACTGTGTGGAACCTGGTGCAGTGACAGAGAGTGGATCATTCAGTGTCATCTTTTAACCCTGTATAAATATCTTTAGATGAGACATGGGTCTAATATATAAAGAGATCCAAGTCTGCACTGCAACGTATCAGTTACTACTTCCCAAGCTGTTAACTCGCCTCAAAACTCTCACGCGTTTGTCTCGTCGAGAATACGTTAACCCCAAAATCCTTCATACTATCCCAAAGCACAGGGCCCCTTTTTTTTTTTTTTTTTTTTAGAAAGCCGACATATACATGTGCAAATAGGAAACTGGCCTGTACTTTACTACTCACAGTGCAATGATTACTCGCTTTATTACCTTTTCAGTGTTTTCCTTCATTTTTTGCCACTAGAATAAATTAAAAACCTGCCAATGATTCCGCAATCGAACTCGCAAAGGCTGAGGTATGGTATCAAAATGTTTACTTTCCTAATTCATTCATAAAAGAAGTGATTCAGAGAACAAAGCGTTACATAAAGGGCTCCAGCACAGAGCCCAGATCTTGTGTTCCAAAAAAAAAACAAACAAAAAAACACGAATCGGGAACAAAGCAGGATGAAACAAACAGTAACATACACCTAAGTTCCTCTCAAGAGTATAAAAGTGTCAGGTCGCACAGAGCACTGTCTAATGCCTGGTTCAAGTTCTAATCTTCACATCTAAGTACAGTGTGCTTTGGATTAAATCATCTTTTCTCTTCTTCTCTCTCCCTCTCCACCTCAATGATACTGATATCGTAACAGTTAAACAAAAGATACCAATCAGGCTCTTCTTTTTTTTTTTTAATTTCTTAAAACTGTGTTGACTTAACTCACCGTTTGTAAATTTGCTGGTATGACACTTGTAAAATTATTCGGCTTTACGGTACTTACAGAGAACGTGTGTTCCGTTCGTCTCTGGGGTCGTTTATACCGTCTTCCAGCAGAAAACAAAAGTATAATAACAACTGTTTACAGCTTTTTCTTCTATTCACACGCTATAACATGTTCTTTTGACACACCATCACAAAAATATGCTATTCTCTCACTGAGTCGGTTATATGCAGTGACTGGAATAATATGTACAGCTACATTTCTTTTTCTCAAGTTTGAATTCACAATGTAGTTATATGAAATTTGTTATAGCATATATATATATTTCTAAACAACAAAAACAACACTTATAAAAAAGGACCATGAAAATATTGGAGTCCTCTTTGTATTGCCCAAAAATAGGTAATTATGGTTAACAATGAGACGTCACAAGAAATAAAACAGCTACTAAGATTTATTACTTAGATACCCTCTTTAAAGTTTCCTTAAAATGTAATTTTTTTTCCTTCCGATTCTCTCCACACTGAGCTTCTTTTTTTTCTTTTTGTTGTTGTTGCAGAAAGACTGAATGGAGCATCCAATCATTTCTCTGTTACACTACAAAGATGAAGACATGACTTGCAGATATTCTTGGCTATGACCCCCCCAACTTCAAACAAAATCCATGTTCCACAAATATACTATAAGATCAAATAAAATGACACAAAAATGAAGGTTAAAACTAAAATGACTCCCTAAAAACTAATCAAAACCAAAGCTAACAGAGGAAGGAAACTGGTGAGTGAAATCGACGTGAAACATACCAAACCAGGTCGTAAAGTTATAGGAGGTTTGGATTATAGTACAGCAGTTGTTATTTTTCTGAGATGACTAACGTTTTTCTTTTCTTCTTCATATGGTTTCCGACTTTCGTCCCTTTTTGCCTCGGTGACGCTGTAGTGCTTGAAGTTGGATAGCATCACCTGCACACAAAGCCAATTAGAAACTCCGTCCTGTCTTTCCCGGGCCACCAGATATACTCTGCTGGGGGACAAAGAAAGAAAACAAAAAGGATGGCAACAGCATTAAAAAAAAACATTCATTTCATTCACATAAATCCTGACCACAGATACTGTCCTCTGAAGGATTCACAGTCAATAATGTGACGACAACATCAAATATTTCGGACACATTCTGAGGCATCGACAGCATGAAACAAAATGTGACGGCAAATGATCGTAAATAGCAGCGGGTTAAACCTTGCTGCAGGAGTTACATAATTACAGACTATACTTCTTTGGTTACACCGCTTGTTAACTTAGCAATCAGGTTCACACGTGTGCCGCTACTGCCGAGTCTTCAAACAGTGGTAATGCTTAGCTGGGTTTGATTGCTTAAAAAGGGAATCAACCCATTAAAAACAGTCATTTAAACACGCGTGCACAAATGAGTTCAACACACACACACACACACACACACACCACACGTCCTATCTACCAAAAGTAGCCGGAAGCGGACAAATAGCTGGAGACATTTTGAGTGGGTTATATAGAGAGTGGTTCTACCGTGCATATGAGAGACAGTGTTAGCAATAGAGATGAATTACAGAGGCAAAAATAAACATGATGAAACGGAAATATTCGGTTCCTCGTAGACATTAACTGCCCATTTAATATTTAATGATTCAAGGCATTTGGCTTGTTGGTGAGAAGTTTTTGGTTTTACTTCAGTCGTAGCGGTGAAGTAGTGTGATGCGAGTGTGTGTAGTGTTAATAAGAAGAAAAGGAAGAAAAACTGGTAGCGTGTGTGTGTGTGTGACTGAAGTATGAACTTCTTCCAAGTCACACAAACAACAACAACAATGATTGAATCTGTTTAAATCGATGCTAATCTTCTCTACTGTCGTCGTTACAGACCACCTCGCCACAGCAGAGGCCTCCAGATTTATGAAGAGGCAAACCTCCCGTCACACACTCACACTTTACTACCAGCTCGGTCACTTTGAGGGGGAAGGCGAATAAACAAGAGGATGATGTGATGAACATGTATTAGAATAGAAATGCACAGTAAGTAAAATGCAATACCTCTGATGAGATGGCAACCGGCCACCTGTTCAATGGTATCCATTTGTAAAAGCTGTCGCAATCAACGGGCCCTAAAAGTGTACAGTTAGTGCTTTTGTCAGTATGCATTTCAAGGAGAGAAAAAGGTGAGTATCATATCATGAATGTGAACGTTTTGATTCAGTTTGATCATGTTCAGCAGCAGAGCAGCAGACTTTTCTCACATACAGTCTGTAATACAAGTTCATTGTGTCGTCCTGCAATGGAGAAAACAGTGCATGCTGCAAAACGACTCCAGGAAGTAGGACTCATGATCCCATACTGTGTTACATACTTTAACTTCAGTTGGTAACACTTTCTATGACTGTCTATAATCTATTGTAAACATGCTTATAATGCATCATAATCTGCTTATAGCATATAATCATCGTCATAAACACTCATACATATTCATAACGTATTATAAAACATATTTTACAATGTTGTGTTCTTCTTGCATAGATTTAATGATATGTTTTGACTTCTCTCATCACAAACAACCACCACTCGGAGAGACTAATAAGTGCATTATAATACAGTGACCATAATGCATTATAAAAGATATAATGTATTTCAACTATTAATTAATTACAACTCGGAATTACACTACAATCCTCGCCTCTATGTCATTAAATATGTGTTATGATGAGGTATTATTCTTCTAAACTCATGAGTGCTCATAACTATAATCATACAATGCTACAAACAGATTATAAAGCAGGATAAGTGTGTTCATGACGCATCATAGACATGATTGAAAGTGCTTCCCTTCATTTTATTTTCTATATCAGGTGACAATCAGTGAAAAATAGTGTAAACAAAACAATATGTCAATGAGACAATAAAACACACACAACCCCCATTCATGCCAACACACACAGTTGATTAGAGCTGAAAGCGAGCAGAGAAAAGGATCATAAAGAGCCCTCAGTGAGATCAGTGTGCTCCAGAGGGTTGAATGGTCTTCATTATGAAGCTCAGCTATCAGGACCGACAGGTCTGCACAAATCCTCGGATTGAAAAGAGATGCACTTTCAACAGCGATTGTCTGTCTTTATCACTTCAATCGACTAATTGCACTCTAATTGTCTTGCATGAAAAAAAAACCCCAGTTAAGTTCATTACTGCTCCTTCACAGTGGCTGTTTTGATATTGGCTAAAGGGATTAATAAAACCGCTGGAGCGTATGACCAAAGCGACAAATCAGAGGCTCTGAAGTCACCCGTGAGGTTGTGACATACGATGATCCGACGTGTATTCAGTTCAACAGCATCCTCGGTCGTAAAGATGAATTATAAAGCACATTTTAGTTCTGAATCATTTCCCATTTTAATGTTCTGAATAGAGAGATCATCTCGCCGAGAGCTGCTGCATCACCTCTCTGCTTTATTGCACTCGGTTTGATTCACTGGGTAATTCTCAAGTGGCGATTTAGTATTTAATATCACAGGCACAATTTGACATTCTGCACGGGAGTCACAAAACCTGGCCTCTGTGTTTTTACTATACATCAGCCTTTTAAAAGAGTTTTCAGGTAAATGTGACAAAAATATATTTCTATATCAGAATTGATGGTATTCGTTGCATGTTTCTACATTCTGTAACACAGCGTGGTTACAAACCGTTGCAACGGAAGGAAAAATAATGTTAACAAATGGCCTCATTTCCATTTGTGAACTATCTGCTGCTCAATCTGCTTTGAAAACGAGCCAGCGTGGTCTGTCATAACAAATATTGTGCTTCCTACACTGAGACCAGCAGATTATCGCAGATAGCCGGTGGACCTAAAACAATTAATAAGAGAGGCTTTGCTTAGGAAGCCAAAAAGCCAACACGATGTATCTTGCTGTTAAGCTCTGTTTTCGTTTGGACATCATCAATCCATTACGCGTATTTATCAAAACCTAAAATGAGCGATTTCATCTTCTCATGAGCTATTTTTGCCCATTTGGTCCCAGTGGCACTTTTCCACAGCAACAAGCTGACTGCTTATTAGGTCTCCCATTCACTTCATCCTGGCTAAGCCGTTAGAATTAGTCCCATTGATTCTACGTACCGCACACTCTGATGAATCTCCTGTGCTACTCCTCACAACAGAGATGCCCCCAAAGCGTAGCAGCCATTCCACAAAGTAAGTCACAACCAGGAAAAAATTTAAATAATGACTCAAATTTAGAAAGAGCGTCTTCACCCTGTCGTCTTGCAGTGCTAATGGGCCTGCTGTTATGCCACCTCAGTTAAGCCATGCATTAATTAGCTTCTTACAGAAAAGCAGGTGTTATTTTCATAACCTTTCCTGCGTCACTCAGTTCACTCATGTAAAACAGTACAAACATGGCCCAGCAAGACGGGCAGCGAGTCGCAGAACGTAGCCCCCGCTGCACCTTGCTAGGGGCCATAAAATTCTGATGGCAACATATTTGAGACTAATTATTCAGTGAGGTGCGGGGTAGACACACACACACGCAAAGTAAACAAAGCGCTGATCGAGTCTTCTGTCGGGGGAGTTTGAACGTTGTCCCTTTGTTGAAAACAAGGTCCTGAACATAAGAGGAAGATGAAGAGCTACTCGCTAATTAAGACGAAATTCAATTTGGCTGGGTTTGAACGGTAACATTTGAATGTCTGGGTTATACAGTGTGAAGTCTTTGCCTGTTTTTAGAACGGCTAATTTAGCAACGCTGAAACATTCATCACATAACGAGATTATGTTGCATTTATGAATCACTGATGGATTACAACCGTGATTGGTTTTAAGTGGGCGAGCGCGCAGTAACTAAAGGAAGCACACAAAACAACACTGAATAAGGAGTCTGTGACGGTGACACCAAGATAGGATGGAAGATATAAAATATGCTCTTATAAGAGAACTTATAATAACTGACAAATACTGTACTTCGACATTACACAATGTCCTTATTGCTGCGTACTTTAAAATGTGTTACAAAACACTCTTTAATATTTATGTACCAGTTATAAATAAGGTTGCTTCTTTATTTCAACTTGGTTGAAGTTACTCCTCAGATGATCTCTTTAAGATTTTGGGGTTATAATATTAGAGAACCCCATTTTGTAAATGATGTTCCCCAATTTTTATTGCGTGCCACTATCTTGCCAGGCCATGTCTTCATCGTCACCGGGCCTTGCTTATTTACGGGTTGCTGCACATCAACTAAACTGACGCACACGTGACAATACAGACATCGGAGCACATTCACACAGCCACACTGAGGACACCTCTTTGTTACAGCCACCTCTACTAGCCCTGCAGGTCTTACATTGATGGGGTGACATGGCAATTGGCAGCTTTACTGATCAGCAGGAGGAAAAAGCATGCAACAACACCTGGCTGAGAAAAGTACACCTGGACAAGGACGCTGGGAGAGAAGCGACCTGCTGGAAGCATTGTCCTAGTGACGGAGCAAGCTCAAGCTCTGGGACAGATGGGTTTCTAAAAATAAAGGAAATTTGTTCTGGGAAGGTGACACAGAGTCTGGAGTGAGGTGATTCGGGCAACAGCTAAGGGGAACAAACATTTGCATTTGACACAGATAACTTTGAGAGCTGAGACGGGGTTTGCCCCGGATGTACAAAATGCTCATGGGACCTCTGAACTCGATGACTCTTAGAATCTACTAAATGGTTGCTCTGGACTTATCTGGATTTGGGACGTTTGCTTCGAGGCAGGTGGTGGTTATTTTGATCAAGAGTATTAAGTCCTTTAACAATTAGAAAGCCCTACTCCTTATAATAAAATTCTAATGTTACATTACAATCACAGGCAGCATGCATCGGTTTAGTGTCGTATTTTAGTGGCGGTATTCGGACACATGGGGAGGCAACTGAGCTCAAGGTGCGGCCAGACACGACAGGCAGTCTGCATCCGAGTACTCACTGTGATGCTGGGGCCAAACCCAGAGCCGGGCTGAGGGCTAGCAGCACTGATGTAGTTGCCCACAGCTGAATCCTGGCTGCCAGGTCCGTACAGGTCAGCCACAGGCCCTGGACTGTTAGCACCAGGGAAACCTCCGGGCCTTGACGGGTTGGCGCCTGCATACAAACACAGCGGGGGAGCAGAGCAGCTCAGAAACACCCAACAGCCATCGGTGCGACTCTTACTTGCTACGACTCAAAGGGAAACGTTTAAATCAAAAGAACACGCTACTGGATTCATGTTTGTCTCGAAGGACTTGCTCATAGTTCATAGTAAAAATACTCGCGGGTAATAAAGCTTTTCAATGTAATTTGATATCAATCAACAACAAACAGGTGCAGGATTTAGATTTAACATTATTTCAAAGAGCCAGAATTGGGGGTGAATCCAGTATGATATTCTGAATACAATCTACATGCTGTGTGTATTATGCAGAGGAGTAACATTCACTTTGTATAGTCATGCACAACACAAAACAAGCACTCTGCTAGAAATACTTCCACCATGCTAATAAACTCGTAAGGTTGCAGTGTCAATGTTGCCATGCATAGTGTGAAGGAGTAGTTGTAAAGCATCATTAGCTGTTGAATAAGAAGAGTAACACAGGATCGTTATATATTACCGATTTAAGATTTCACTGGAGAGTTTTGAACCCAGACATTTGAGATATGCTACTTTATGCTTTCCTGTACGACCTATGAGTCATAGTTAACGGCATGAAACTGCTAAAAATATTCTCCATCATTTCAGCCGTGTGCTTCAGCTTTCCCGTCTGCTGGTTGTAACTTCAGGCATAAAGCAAAAGAGGTACGCGAGACAAGAGAAAGGAGGCATAAAGGGGAAATATAAAAGCGTGACCCGACTTCATGTGCAGGTCCAAAGTGGGGGGGGGGGGGGGGATAAAAAAGAAATACTGTACATGACTTACCACCTTTGCCCTGTGAGTAAGAGCAACTCTGACTAATAAAATGTCTTTTGAAACTCCAGATGCCAACTAAAGGCCAATAACACTTGCAATGCAGGGAAAAAAAAAACACAGCAGTCGGGGAGAAAGAAAAACGCAGTGATCTCTTAACAGCAATCTCCTCTGCTGTCAGCTTCACATAACCCTCCGTCTCACCCTCATTCACAGACAAGACTGTGAAAAAAAAAAAAAAACTGTATTAAAGAGAAAAATCTTCCGGCCACAGGAAAATGCTCGATCTTGTGTATTTACGAGCTCATGAGCCCTATGATGCACGAGAGGAAGGCCTCGTAGAACAAGTAAGGAAAAACAGAGTGCAACTGCGGCACATCCAAACGTGTCGACACGCACAGTATACAAACTGGATCATTGTCGCCGTGTTCAACATATCGCGACTCCGTCTATCAAAGCTGTATTAGACACGCTAGGTCCAACGGGAAGCACCTGAAAACATATCCGCACAAAGCACTCCAGAGAAATGAAGCCATCTCACTAAACACACACGTCTAGTGGGGATGACGCTGCTGTTTAACCGTGAGGACTTTGCACAGTGAGCAGCTAGTGCTCTTATCTTGCCTGCACAGCCCCCCCAGTAGGCTGGCTTATTATATAATTAAGGACTTTTTCAGTCAAAATGGCAATCCTCATTTTCTATGACTGGTGATTTTCTTTTTGTGGCTCGCTCCTCTCCACGTGAAACTGTTTTTTTTATTTATTTTTTGAAAACGTTGAGGCTGCAATGACTTTGGGAGCCAAATTGTTGTAGTGTGTTACTATTCATACACTGTTTTACATAAGCAATGACAGTGCTAAATCTTTCTTATGCATTGGTACTCGCAGAAACATCCGACTGTTAAGAGAAAAGCATTTGATGCTAGGGGAGACTTCTGTGAGAGAGAAAGAATAGGGAAGACCTAAACGAATGAATGTCTGATGTCTAACTCTATACAAGACACTGTGTGCTACGTTGCCAGTCTGTGTCTTCCAGGTTCTATTTGCTTCATTTTTGATTCACTTAAATGTCGTGCTGAAGTACAGACGTAGGCACTGTGCACAAGGGAACAGCATTCATCAAGGAGATATTTGCCTTCAACATGCATATATATCCTGTTCTCCCTCTCAGGCTAGCAATCTGCGTGGCACAATCTCCACCTGTGGACTGAGCTCTTTGCGAGGAGCAGGGTGGCCCACCATAGCATTTGCACAGTAATGGCATGATAAATGAAACACGGGTAATCTACGACCTGCGGCTGGTAATCATCATCACAAGGCACCGAATGGACACAAAGAAAACAATTATACTTCCTGAAAACCATTCTCCTTATCTACTTAAAACAAACATCCGAAAAAAACAAAACAAACAACAGATTCCATTGACTTTAATGTGCTCTCCGATTCTCATATCATTAGGGTCAAGGTTGGCTACAAATATAAACTCTATTTCACAGACAGCAGGTACAGAAATTGTGTTGACTCACTCAGGATTCGAACGTGTCCTCTCAGGTAAGAAAAATCTGAGGCTTTACCGACCGAGCAAAACTCAAACAAAAAACAGCCGCCAGTCCGGAGCGACTTACAGTAGCTGCTGCTAAAGAACGGAGGGTTGATCTGTACCCTTACTACTCTCATGTCAACTGTAACGTGTATATCTGCAGTGGTGTACAGTAGTCGGGATCTTTCCCCTGCCATGCAGCTGTCTATGGAATCAAACACTTCACACTGCTGAACAGATCTGTAGAAAGTGAAGCGTATGGTGAACTATGTCCGGGAGCGCTGTCACACTTGCACGAGTGTTGTGACGATGTCGCTAAAACAGCAGGCCGACAAGAAACCCTTCAGAAAAATCACGTCTGTGCAGTTGTTTCTATGCACCCTGTCTGTGGTTTTTTCGCCGTTTGCTGGACGGACAGATTATAGGAAATGCCAACATCTGCCCGGGGCAGCTGGCCAACACTTTAAACCATTAGGGTGGAGAGTTGGACCCACACTTACACGCTCACTTTATTAGTCCAAAAGGGTGTTTTTTAAATATTTTTGCTATTATTGCGAAGTGGGGGAAGACAAGACTTGAAGGGCGCGGCAGGATTCATGCCCAGCGGGGAACGTGAGTCTCCAGAGACGGGGAGCCTAACCGCTGTGTGTAGGTCAGCGCTGTCACCCACAGCGAGGCATCGCGTGAAGGCACCACACTAAACTCAGACCTCCTTACAACTACCTCAGATGAAGTAAACATTGGTGGTACGTCATGTCAGTGCAAACATGATCATGAGCATATAACTAACATACAAATACTGAAGGATTAAAAAAAGAATAATCTTCTGTCTGTTCTCAAAGATATAGCATGACTTTATGAATTTGTTTTACGCACTGCATGCAGATGTTGAAACGTCAATGTGGAGCATATGTTACTTTAGAAAGCTACGGTTACGTAAGGTAGACGAGAGAACATCAAGCGCACAAGATGAAAATGTGCTTGTGTTGCAGAGTAATGGCTGTATTATGCAAAGATGTTGTCTTTTAAGTGTCTGACATCGTGCAGCATTTCCACTGATTTCCTAGTCAGACTCTCTCACACTAATAACACGAGCAATCATTCCTACACTTAAAATACTGAAAGGGCTCGACTAAAAAGAAACGACTCTCACTCCCACACTTAACTCGTTCCTTCGCTGTTCAAAATTCACATCAACTTGAGCTGTGGTAGAGAGGCCTGGTGTACTCTGCGACATCATCAGTAGTTATTTTGTTCACATGCAAATGAGGGAGTACATTCTGTATGTGTCTGCCCCGTATGTGCAAGCAGGGGCTGGAACATAACTTCACAAAGGAACAGAAAATCTACATTTGAAATTGAAACAAAGGAGGAAGAACATGCAATATGCTACTTTGTCAGCAAGACCTGTCTATATAGGTTGTATTTTTAAGGGGGGGGAGGGATTTTTTTTTTTTTGGTTTCCTTAACAAAAGAAGGGAAAATCTATAAAAACAAAAAAAAAGATTAGATCATCTGCATGGAATAATGTCATGAATCAAACTGAAAAGTCCAAAAAGTGGATGAGATAGATGCGCATATACAAACCTGGGTTCTTAAATTGATCCGGGCTGTGTAGGTGCTGGAGGGGGGAGTTGCAGGCGGAGGTGGCATGCTCACTGTGCAGCATCTGAGCCGCTTGGGGCCCCAGGGAGCCATAGTCAGCAAAGGAGCAGGGCCCCCCCCTCTGGTCACTGGGCGTAGAGTAAAACCCATAATCGGGGAGGCCTGGGAGATACAGTATAGGAGGGGGGGAGGGGGAGGGGAGGGGACTCCATCATTGTGGAAAACAACTCTTTCAATGTCAAAGTCAGTGTCCAGATTGTTAAGCATAGCTTGGTGGTGCGCCACACCGCTTTTTAGAATACATCCTTGAGTTTTGTCTGCTTTAATTGCCCCCCCCCATGCCCCCCCTCCCCAGCAGCTCATACCATGTGGCCAGGCCCCCTTGGCATATGGTCCGTGTTTGATACGCTCAGCTCTATCATATACATTAGCTGTAACAATTATGGATACATGCTATCTCTCCCTGACATGACACAATTTAAACCTCCTCATTGACTCTTAATACCTTTGGCTTGATTCAAATGGACCAATAACAACACATGCTAAACAAACAGTCAGGCCACAGCTTGAGATATTTTGGCTTTTGCATAATTGACCTTTGCCCCGTATGTGATCGTGATCATCAAGGAGTGAGATAAAAACTGAAGAATCATTAAAACACAGGGCAATACACATTTCTCATTTCAAAACCGACAATTCTTGGTCGACACACCTGAAGGAAGCTTTTGTTATTTAAATGAAAAGAAACAATAATTAATTTAAAGCATTTTATTTTTCTATGTGAATGAGATATAGGCGTTCGTGTTTATAGATGACTGTGAAATATCCTAAGTACCCCACGCCCGTCTCAGATTGGCCTCTTTCAATGATTCTCTCCTCGACACAGATGGCGGATTATCAACAGTTTAGAAAATGTCTTTCAGCAATAAGTCGTGCTGGCGTTCATTGCTTGTCCTCTTAATCTGAGACAAGCTGCTCATATAAAGAGTGCAATTAAAAGAAACCGCTGCTTCTCACACCTCCTTGATAACAGAGTTAATCTACTCAGGAGGGACTGAGATTGGTGAGACCGGCTTTTCCATGCTGGGTTTCCCCCTGCTGTGTGTTTTTGTTTTTTTTTATTTTGGGTCCTGGAGCGAACAGCCATTCAAAGCAACTTCACCTCTACCCATTCAGAGTGAGACAGTCCACTTCTGCCAAATGGAATGTAAGCACCCGCCATGTTTCTCTCTCTCCGCCAATGCTTTTTAGCACTCTGATCTCACCACTTGTGGGCCGTCTGCCCACTCATCAAATTATAGGCTCCAAATACGGCAGGCTTCCCACGTACGTCACATAATGCCTGACACATTGAACAAAGCTCAAGAACCAATCATTCCATTTACTTCACTTAGACAAATGTCACAGAACATTGATTGGCCTCGCTAATGAGGAAAACTGAATCAATGGAATAATTATAACGAAAAAAACATTTGACAATAGAGCAACCCGTGTTGTTGGGAATTCATAAAGAAGCCATTCCAAATATGTCAGCAGCTCAGAACAGTGGAGAGACTGGACGCAAACAGGCCTTACTTTCCCTTTCGTGATACCTTCACTATGCTTCATTGCTTTCACATGTTGACCATAAACCGTGTTGTGTCTAAAGAAGTCAAGTTGCAGGTAGATATATAAAAGATTGCTTCACTCATGAAAAGAAAAACATGTGGTGACAGATAATAATAAACTGTTCATATATTTAGACAAAGCCCACATTCAATTAAGAGTGCTTTGAGTTTTAAATCAAAATATTATTGGCAGCGAATTATTGAAGTGGGTGTTGCTTCAAAATTGGACAAGGAAGTATTTTCCATTTGAGATAAGCTTCTAATTGTAAGTGACTGAACCACATTAAACTGGGCAGACTTTGTTTTCTTTAATCCTGTTGTGTCAACTCACATTACAGGTTCCTGCTGAGCCACAAGCTGCCACTTGTATGATCACGCAGTACGGATCAACGTGGACGAGGATGCCTACGCTGAACGTAAATACAGGACCCCGATGTCCATCGACAGTTAGGTTTCTCTATAGATGACCAATGTCCTCAACAATGTTTGCGGAAAAAAAGGGAGAAAGGCAGCATTACTGTGAGAAAAGCAGGAAGATATTATTTCTTCTGCCGTGGGGGAAATGAAGAGATGTTTCTATTTTGTGAATAACATTTATCCAGGTAATGAAGTTTGCAAAGTTTTCAGACACGGCATGCCGTCGCACTGTGCGCAGGTGCGGCAGGCTCGGGTAAGAAACTTTTGTTTGCCGATACAGAGAAAGGAGTTTTGAGTCGTGCACAAACACGCGGGCACAGAAACTCAAAGCCATATATTTTCATCAGTGGCGATCAGTTCTGCAGGACGAGACTGGGCAGAGTGTGCCCACAGCTGCATGAGTATCACCGATCATATCACTGTGCCACAGACCTCCCCACTATTAATATTCACACAATCTATCCAGAACAATGGGCCTTTCTTGGACTCCCGTTTTTTTTTTCCACTGGCCACTAATTGGATGTAATTACTCATCTACAAAACAAATGAGCGTGCTGAGGTTGCCTTGGAGACTAGATCAGGGGACCCAGCAGTGCGAATCGTTCGCAGGGCTTCATTTATACTGGTAATTATCTCCCCTGCCCCCCCCTCTTTCCCTTCTGCCCTCGGTGACCAGAGCTGGCTGCGAAGCGACGGCGAGGGGGGAGTGTCTTGCAGTCATCTGTTACTGACATCATCGGGGTGGCTCTCTGTAAGTGGATAAATGCCCTGCTCTCGTTCCCACTTTGCCAGGTGACTGCCTTTAAGGAGGAATCACAAACCTTGAAAGCACTGCGGCTCTTTTTCTCACCGGATGGAAAATAAAACTAATCACGCCGATGATAAAATACAGCGTCATGCTCCCTGGCCTGTTGGGACTTATAAATATTGTCTTAAGTTCGCCAGTGTTCTGCACCAAATTTGGGATTATCCTCTCATTAAATCTCAGAGAAACTCAACATATGAACTAACCTGCTACAACACTAGAAGCAACTTATATTGAACAACAGCAAAACCTGTATTTGTTATATTTATTGCTAAAATCAGTAATGTTCGCAAACAAAAGGCCTTTACTTTTCATCTATACGTCGACTCTTTGAATGTACTTTACATGTACCGTCATTTCTACAGGGAACAATGGGAACAGGGGGAATCTAACAATCTATTAACATAAGTTATTTCCATTTCTGCAAGGAATCATTCTTCATGCAGCCGCTCCTCCCTTTCCCTCGGCGGCGCCGGGAGTGATTCCTCGGTGGCCATCAAACCACATCACTCTACAGAAGATGTCAATAAACCTGACATGCTGCTTCTCAAATTAGCTTTGAATTTCAGAGCCACCGTAATTAGCTTTTCCATTTTCACCAATGCCATTTAAAAATAGCGTGAAAGAAACGAACAGCTCTTTTTGCTGTATAGCCTTGCTTTTCACTTTCCATTTGAAATAATCTTTTCTGAATGAATGGCTGAGTAATTAACAGCACTAGACACCCTTTTTCGGAGAGCACAGACATTTCATAAATAATACATATTTAATGTCTTGTCATTTTCTGTTCAGAGAAGCTTGGCTAATTAATTTTAACAGATGATTTCTTCTTGCATTTACTCACCCATACTCAGGCTTTCAGATTTTTATTTTTTTTTTACTTTTAATGTTATGCCTGCTCTTCTTCCCTTTTCTTTCCGTTTCGTTCCAGAAATGGAGAAACGTAACAGAGCTACTGATTTGGGTTTACCTTGCAGCCTTGGTTGGGTAATGATAGTGGGAAGTTACAGAGGAAGAGGCATTGTGAACACTGGATCGTGGGTAAAACAATGTGCAACTAATCAGCGCATACTAATTTGCACACTAAATGATTTCAATGCCGATTTTGAACCCGTGTGGGGATCTGGTCTAGCTGGGACTGAGAAAGGGCACTCAGTTGTCGGCAGTCGGCACAGATTACCCCCATCCTGAGCAGCCTCAGAGCTGACAGGCCTGGCCTTTTGGCTGAACACTTTTTTATTTTCAAACATGTCTGGTCAGGCTTATGTGATGTGAAGAAATATAGGACTCACTATAACTGAAATCTGAGAGTGATACTGGCTACATCTAATGGTCACTTAGATGCAGGGGGGGAAGGACAATATGAATTTACTGGAAGAGGAATTACAATTTCCAGCAACGCTCACTCAGTTATTGTGTGTTAATAGATTGGCAAATCTTCCAGCATCTTACAAAATGATATTTGCTGGCATTTATCTCAGAGTTGTACAAAATGCTGTCGTGTATTGAAGTAGGAAGGCGGGAAACTATGTAATCGACTTTGCAATCTGCATGTCATTATTATTACGAACAAATAAGTAAAAAGATTGTAAAATGTCTCTTCAAAATGAATTGTGCGATGCCAATGAAACAGAAAATCCTGTACTGATTAGGAAGGAGACAACGCATACTGTAGTTCATACCGTACTCCCATTAAGCCCTCGGTGAGTTTTCTTTGGAGAGTGTGTTACGTGTGCAGGCCCTGGAGGGCAGAGTGCTGATGTCCCTAAAGGCCTGTGCCTGTAACCTCGGAGCATCTGCTACCCACAGCTGTGAGAGGCATCGCTTCGTGGCGGAGGCGCAAAGGGACACTTTGCCCTCCCCGATGTGTCACATCTTTCCCTGGGCCTCAGACAAAAAACCCAGGCGGGATGAGCTTGGCATGCCTGCTCATGTTATTTTGCACCAAATACATGTAAAGCGCCTCTGGCCTCAGAGCTGAGCTCTGTAGATTAGCATCTGGGACAAATGGACCTGAGCTCACAAAGAGCCAGATTGATTAAGACCAGTGCACACAGCCAATCCATGGTCTCCTCTCTCTGGCACTGCTGAAGATCACAGAGCTTGTTGAGAGGAAATTGACAATGATCTTAATTTGGAAATGTCTGTCACACGAGTTTCCTTCTTTTCATTGGTGAAGAAAAAAAGGAGGCGGGAGAAGAAGTGGGTAGAACAAAAGAGAGAAAAGAACAAAGAAGAGCAACAACCGACTGAGGGGAGGAATGGGCTTTTAAGAACGCAGAGACCCTCCGGACTCCCAGAGACACCTCTGCAATCTAAACAGCAGTCCAATA